TGTAGCGAAGTAGGTCAGAAATAGTACATCAATATAGCACGAACGGCCCGTCAGTTTTTAGTGTTTATGTAGTCGCGAAGCAGGATGAACCTGTACTATTAAGGCTATAAAACGCCTGGATCGTGTTCAGTTCTCTGAAAACCAATATGACGGTAGATGATCCCAACACAGGATACATACATATATTTAATGGTGAATAAACAGATTTATCTTGTCAGTATTTATATAGTTATCCTACTGACCAATACATGTATTTACAAGTGGATACCTTAATGCGGTGATCCTACGAGCGACTGATCGAGTTAGCTAGAGCCCCTTAGGTCATAAACACTGTAGGAAAATGTAACGATCCTACAGCTAACAAATACCATTATTCTGTGACCCGCGAAAGAACAGGAAAATGTATTTAAACTGTACCAAATGGTGAGGATCCATATGTACTTGTTATATTCAGTGATGACAATGTTTCGCAATCGCACTTTATCTTGTTTCGTGGACGAATTCTTCAAATGTTTACCCTACTGCACTGTTGATAAGTGATCTGGTAACCATAATGATAATGAGCAAAGTTCGATCACAGGAAAAGAACCCAAGGAACGGTGGGTCTATTTACGAAAGGTATAGATCCAAGACTCAGTTGAGGCTCAATAATTCAAATGAAAACAATTTAATTCCTTCATTGAAGATCAACTGGATGGAAGGTCTGGTGCCAACAATCATGATAACTTCAGTACCAAATTGATACATTAAGGATGAAGTTAAAAGGCTCATAATTGAATCACGTGGTGCAGATATATGTTGGAGCCCATTCACGCTTTGGATAACGAGTAGGACTAGCTTTAATCACTGGATAGTGACTGTGCAAACGTTTAGCCGTCTGCAATAAACGGGCAGTTACGGATTGACTAGTTTGCCTTGTTAGTCAGCTGGGCGAGACTCTAATTTATGGACGAGCCAATCAGAAGCGTTTTAGAAATCTCAAGTTTACGGCGCCAACTTCAGTGCTTAATGCTAACGTACGATCGTTTTACAGGGGATTTTATACAAAACGTGATAATTTAGCATCTATAATAAATAGAACGGCGAGACTATAATTTGTGGACGAACCAATCAGGTATAAGATAACAGATCTCGGATTTGGGCCCGAAAGCCTTTCATCCATTTGGCTAAATAGATTTCTGGCATTATGGCTGATGTCAGTTCGTGATGAAAACCCTATATATAATTCCTAACTAAGGCAAACTATGACAATTATCGCGAACTGGATAATAAAAGTACTAGTAACACTGACTGCAGCCAGGTACTACAATGTATATGGATGATTGGAGAGCCTACAGACTCCTACGTAGGCTTGGCTATGTGCATCGCGTCGTTATCCACAAGTAGCATTTTGTGTAATCAACAACCGAAGTGCACATAAACAATATTGAAACTATGTGGTCGAGGCTGAAAGAGTTTTTGAGAATTTATGATGGCTCCAGAGGCCGACTATTCTGTAGCCGTATGGATGATTTCCTCTACTGCATGCATTACGATTTTAGAACCTCTGAACCTCCTAACCTTAACAAGTTTTTGAACCACGTATAAGAAGTGTATCCACTATATTTCCTTGGTTTTGTATAATATATTTTTGCTCAATACCTACTGTTCGCTGATTGACTAATTTTCTCAAGGTCACTTAGAATTCGTCCAAAGGTCGTCCATAAGTTAGTCTCGCCGAAAACTTTATAATATTATAACCGATATTCATGAGACCGTATTTGGAATATGGGATTCGAGCAGCGAGTCCTTGTTTCATGTGTGAGGCAGATATGCTGGAACGCGTCTAACGACGAGAGACTAAAGTGGTAGAAGGTCTATCTGACCTATATTATGAAGACAGACTGAGACACCTCAACTTATTCTCGTTATCTTACCGTAGAATACAGGGTGATCTAATATTGGCTTACTGCATACTGAACGATGACCTTGGTATTAATGTCTTATTCGTTCCTTCCGTCCAGGACTGATCATTTGAGAGGACATTCTACGAAATTTCAGAAACCGAGATCACATAGTCTACGTCTGGAGTTTCGTTTCTCGCAACGAGTAGTGAACTACCGAGATCCTCTATCAAAATACGTGATATCAGCACCCGGTAATACATTCACAGTGTTACAAATTGAAAGGATTAATACAGGTCAATAGGCCTCCTATTCTTATTACTGAAGCTTTAATACCAATTCCTTAACTAACTTACAACCATCTTATGAACTGAGTAGGTTGGTGAACTTTTTCAAGCTCACTTTAGCCTTTCTTAAACGTCACCCATAAGTAAAAGTCCCACGATGTTGTATATGCAGATACATCTCTTGACACTAGATCTATTCACCTCAATAACGAAAACTATGGAAACAATAACGTAAATATCCAAATGCTACTATACAGTCAAAAATGCTTCAATAACACCTCTGAAGTACTTGCAGAGAAAACAAACACACCTTGTCGTAGCGGAAATTTTGAGACGAGCGAACATCGACCTTCAAGTAAGTCATTAAAATGGTTCAGATAGTTCAAATGGTTTGTGGACAGAATAGAAGCTTTTGCTTAACAGGCTTCCGTTTCTAATGGCAGGGGATCATCAATATCTCCAGGCAGGAACCTAAATATATTAACTATAATGGATTAGAAAAAAAGAAATTGGTAACTCATAATATGATGTTATCCATAGTCCTTAAGAATAGGTCAAGTTTCCTCTTAAAGGACTCCTGGGAAGTCGCTTGGACTAGTTCAGTAGGCAGCGAATTCCAGCATTCGACAACTCTTAAGGAGTAGGAGTTGTGTCTACAGTCCGTTCTGCTATGTTGTATCTCCAATTTCTGGGTGTCACCCCTTAGATTTGTATTGGGACTAAGCTTTAGTAGGTGTTTAAGAGGATGTCCAGAAGTGTCAAGGATACTGTAATCCATCAGAATGTCACCTCTAGGATGCCTATACTCTAATGTGTGAAGGTTAAGTGATTGGATGCGCTCTTCATATGGTTTAAATTTGAGTCCGGAACTGATTTCGTTGTATACGCCCCAGAGTGTCCTTATCCTTTTAAAGTGAGGGAGGGAATACTATGTTTCCGTACTCTAAATGAGGACAAATAAAACTGATGAAGATTATGTGGAAAGTTCTTCCGTCAAACTGGTCAAAAATGCGCTTCAGTGTCACCAGTGCAAGGTTTGCTCGAAAGGCATTTTTGTCACAGTTAACGTAAGACTTCAAATTGTAGGACACCAGGACTCCTAAACCTTTTTCGGCTCGGAATACTACTAGAGAGGAGTTTATTAAGTTTTATCTGTAGTCTGCTACATGTTGCAGATGGACTATTATATATCTGACGATACCTGTTGAGGAAGATCATTTATATAAATCAAGAAGAGAAGAGGTCCTAGTACTGAGCCCTGGGGTCCTCACCAGGCCATTCCATGGCCTGAGATAAAGTGAAGTTAACCCTGACCTTAGAATGTCGATTTTTCAGACATGAAATGAGCTAATCAATCAGAGGTGGTCTGATATTAATTGTTTGAGCTTAATGATAAGACATATATCGTTAACTCTATCAAAAGCTTTTGAGAAATCAAGGTAAATGATACCAACCTTCCCCTTGCAATCAAGGATGCTTGTCCATCTGTCCACCGCAGTCAGCAGGTTGGTTATACAAGAGTAACCCTTCCTGAAACCATGCTGTTGGGGTGAGAAGAAGTTTAAGGACCATCGCATACAAGGGACTCCATGATTTTTGAAGAGAAGAGCCACCAGTCTGTGACTTGAAGGTTCGCTACGTCGACCACCCTTGGAAATTGGTGTGGTGTGAGCCAGCTTCCAATGTTCGGGTAGTTTGCCTCGGCTTAGTGAATGTGAGAATATCATCCTAAGCGATGCTGCCAGTATTGAAGCTGCTTCCCTCAATATAACAAAATGAACCATATCTTAGCCAGGAGAAATGTCTTTTCCTAGGTGCTGCAGTTTCCGGAACACCAAGTCAGCGCGCAGGTTTACCTCGGAAAGTCCTGTGCAGTTGCGGATGAAGCTGTCATCAGTATAGTTGATGTGGGTCGGCTGGAATGTCAGGGAGTATTGTTCAGCCAAAAGGTTAGCGGCGGCGTCGTCGTTATTGGTCGGGCCATTGGGACCTAGCAGTTGGGGAACTCCAGTTTTGGCTTGATGAAAAGCCGCTGCGTGACGGAATAAGCTTTTCGGATTGGAGACAAATTTGTTCATAAGCTTTATCTGGTATTGAAGCCTGTCTTCTCTTATAGCCTTCGTGCATATATTCCTTGTATGTTTGTGTTGCCTGTACGCGCCGTTATTGTCAGTTCGTTTGCATTCTACCAACTGTGCCTTTTGCGGCCTAGTAGGCGAAGAGTATGGTTCTTATTGGTTGTAGGTTTCTTGAAGCTTTTGGAGGCCATTTGAGGAACTGACTGTTGTAGCACATGAGGGCGTGTGCAGTAAGAAGTCTCAATGAGTATCCACATCAAGTTGGAAGTGAACATCCCAATCCACCTGTTACAGATAGTCCTGTAGAG